CATGGTGGCGCATGCCTGTAGTCCCAGCTACTCGGGAGGCTGAGGCAGGAGGATTGCTTGAGCCCAGGAGTTTGAGGTTGCTGTGAGCTAAGCTGACGCCACGGCACTCTAGCCTGGGCAACACAGTGAGACTCTATCTCAAAAAAAAAAAAAAAGTAAATACATAAAGCAGCAACAGTCATTTATCAAGTGTTAGGCACTGTAACTGCATGTGCTATACTTTTGTACAACTGGCAGTACGTTTACACCAGAATCACCACAAACACACGAGTAATGCATTGTGCTCTGATGACGTTATGATGGCTACAACCTTACTAGGTGACAGGAATTTTTCAGTTCCACTATAATCGTATGGGATCAGTGTCATATAAGCAGTCCACCACTACCCACAACATTATGTGGTGCATGATTATATTCTATAGCTGTTTTCTTTTGTGTGGTTACCAGAGGGATTAAAAATCCCAAAGTTCTAATATTCTAACTTGAATTTTACCACTTAACTTCAACAACAAAAAACTCTGCTCCTTTAACAGTTTTGTGCCCACATCCTTTGTTGTTGTTGTCACAAAATTACATCTTTATACCCTGTATTCCTCAAATATAAAATAATTCTTTGAAATGATTTGGCCTCTTAAGTTACATAGAAAACAAAATGTGGAGTTACAAACCAAAGTTATAATAATACTGGCTTTTAGACTAATTTTTAAAATGTACTATTCACTTAAATCATGTAGAAAACAAAGTGCTGTTACAGACCATCATTACAATAATACCAGCTTTTAAAACTGCTCATGTAATTTTTACCTTTACTAAGATCTTCATCTCTTCAGTTGACTCTGAGTTACTGTCTAGTGTCCTTTCATTTCACCTGGAAGGACTCTCTTTAACATTTCTTACAGGCCTAGTGGTAACAAACTCCCTCAGCTTTTGTTGATCTGAGAATGTCTTAATTTCTCCCTCACTTTTGATGAACAGTTTTGCTGGGTATAGAATTCTTGGTTTAGTTTTTTTTTTTTTTTTCTTTTAGCATTTTTAATATATTAGCCCCTTACCTCTGGCTTCTAGTGTTTGATGAGAAATCTGATCGTCTTACTAAGGATCCCTTGTATGTGACATGTCATTTCTCTCTTGCTATTTTCAAGATTCAAAAGTGTTTGAATCTGCTGCCTTTCAAAAGTTGTTGGCTTTTGAAAGTTTGATTATACTGTGTCTCAGTGTCGTCTCTTTGAGCTCATCTTACTTGCAGTTTGTTGAGCTTCTTGGATGCTTGTATTTATGTCTTTCATCAAATCTGGTAAGTGTTCAGCCATCATTTCTTCAAATATTCTTTCTCTCCCTCTTCTCCCACACCCCAGGACTCCCAACATGCGTATGCTGGTTGCCTGATGGTCTTCCACAGGTCACGCAGGCTCTGTTCACTTTTCTTCAATCCTCTTTCTTTCGGTTCCTCAGACTCAACAATGTCTATTGCCACTGATTCAAGCTCACTGATTCTTTTTTTGGCCCTTGAATTCCTCTAGTGAATTTTTCATTTTAGTTACTGTACTTTTAAGCTCGAGAGTTTCTTTTTAGTTTCTTTTTGTTTTCCATCTCTTTATTGATATTGCCAATTTATTCATACATTGCTTTCTAATTTTCTCCACGTCTTTAAGCTCTCCGAGCATCTTTGAGACAACTACTTTAGTCTTTGTTGAGTAGATCTGCCATCTTTTCCAGGGACAGTTTCTACTGATTTTTCCTTTGATTGAGTCATAGTCTCTTCTTTTTTGTATGCCTTGTGGGTTTTTTGTTGAAAACTGGGCATTTAATTCAGATAATGTTGTAACTTTGGAAATCAGCGTCTCCTCATTCCCCAGGGTTTGCTGGGTTTTAATGTTTTTGTCTATTTTTTTTTCGCTTTTTTGATTGTTGGAGGCTGTGTGTCTTCTCAGGTCCTTCCTGAGCCTACACCTTTCCCTGGGATTGCATGATCACTTTTTAATTTTCCTCACGTATGCAGGTGCATTTGAATGCCCTAGTCTTTAATGTCTGGCTCCCTAAGGGGAAAACGAGAAAAGTGGAGAAGGGCTTGCAAAAATACAGGATATGCAACAACAATGGCCCCAAGCCTCTTTGCCCCTCTGCAATCAAGGTAGCAATCAGAGCACATCCCTGATGTTTGGATGGCAGGGTCCCTTTTGCCTGCCCTGGCTCCATGGGCAAGCTGTTCCTGGCACGTGTGCACAGCTGCCTGCCATGGGGCTGGGGGTGGGGGTGGGGGTAGCTGCCACTGCTGAAATTGACCAAAATTAACTCTGATTTACCATCCAAGCCTTTCCCTGGGAGTTGCAAGCCATCAACAGACCCCAGAATTCCAAAATAGTTACATCAGACCATTCTGATTCTGCCACTACAATTATCACCTAGGTGGGGACACAGACTCCTCCTGCTTTCTACTCTGTCATCTTCTCAGAATCCTCTCCCTTCCCTACGTTTTCATATAAAGTAAATTCTTTTAACTTACCTTCCACTCCATCAGAGCTTCATAGCCTGTAGATGGCTTTAATCGCTGCTCTCCCTCTGGACCCTCCTGCAGCATCCAGGTGTGCCCACCTGGCAATGGTGGTGGTGACAACCCAACTATGCTCCCTCTTCCCTTCAAAGCTTGACTTGGTCCCTTGGGCTCATTTTTCAACTTTTCACTTTTAAGTGGCATCTGTAATGAACATTCAGATGGTATCTGGACTTTTCAGTTCCTTTGAGAGTCTGGAGAATAAGGTACTCCACACTTAGTAGGCACTTACAACTAATAACAACCTCTCAACTTCTCACCTTGCACTGCCCTCAGCAAACACCACAATGCTCCTTCAGAAATATCTCAATCAGTTCATGCTTCTCTCCTTAACCTAAAAGGCAGAGCTGGATTCTGGGAGACCAGGGTGAGGATGAGGATGAAGAGTGAGGCTTTGAGACCAGCCACAGGAAGGAGGGAAGATGGTCCAGCCACCTGCTTGGAAACGCCGAAGTCATTCCTCTTCCATACACTATTTTTTATTAAGAAGCAAACGTGAAAACAATTGGTTTTGAAACTTTGCATGTAGTTCCTTTTTAATTCTTCATTGCTGAAATTGAACATCACATGAAAGGATGAATGCCACACACAGTCTTGTAACACTGTTACTACGTCTAACTTAAAGAGTAAGTGTTCCTTCCCTAACACTTTAGGACCCAAAACTTAGATAAAATGATCTCAGATAGGAAGGGAATGCTTCTTACTTTTTTTGCACACAGCAAGGAACATGCACAGGATTTACTCACAGCAAGACAGAGAGGAACCAGCGGGTCTCTTTGTCCTTTCTTTACAGGGCCAGCAGCGTGGCAGGAACTGAGCAAACACTGGAGGACGGTTACTTCTCTGCCATGTATTGCCCCACTGGGTTACGCTGACCAGTCCGGTAGAGCCACTTTGAAATAAATCAGCTATATTTATAATCTGAAATTAAGTACAAGTAACCATAGTTCGCATAAAGTCAACAGAATATTTAAAAAAACAACCTGAATTAAAACAAATAGAATCAAAATACAAATGAGCCACTAGAAAAAGTAGGGGGTATGTGCAGGTTATAATTCTTGATATAAAAAGGCTCCTACAAATCAATAAGAAGAACCAGAAACATAATATGAACTGCCAAATCTGAATATAATACATCAAATGAGAAATAAAAATGACCATAAACAGATGAGAACATACTCAACATGACCAGACCCGACCCTTACTTGCCAGTCACACTGCCCAAGACTCGCTTTACTCTTGAGCACAAGTCCACGGCCAGCAATGCTGGGCGGCTGCCAAGCGGCCTCTCCAGGTTGCCATCCTGCCCCTCTGGGAGGCCAGCAGGTACCCAAACCTTCCCTCCTGGCATGAACTCCGACCCATTCGCTCTACCTGTAAGGACTGAGCCCGCCGCAGTAGTTGTAACTGTGGACGTGCAAACATGCACCTGAGAGGAGGTCACGGCGCCACTGCTGGAAGGTGGTGCCCAGCAACAGCAGGTGCCACAGTCAGTCGGGGCACACCCACGGCACAGCCACTAACACAGGTCGAGGAAGGTATGTCACCCACTTAAAAGTCTGCGATTTATTAAGTACAAAAGCAGATTATAAGAATAAGCACTCGATCCTAATTTTGTAAAATTAAAAAAAGAAAAAATAAGATTTATGTCAAATACTAATATTGCTATTACCCAGAGGCAGGATTATAGGAGATTTTAATTTTCTTTATACTTTAATGTGCTTTGTAGATTTTATGCTGTAAGCATAATTGCTTTTATATTCAGAAAAAAATACTGCAAAATAAAATACATCCTATTTGGGGTAATTTTTAAGACCTTTTCATACATTTGAAAATGCAGAATTACAAACAGTTAATAACTTTTATTATTAACATAATGGTATAAAAATTTTTAGTGTGATATACAGAATTCCCGAGAGTAATTCTAAAACATTTTAATGCGTTTCTTAAAATCTTAATTTACAAGACACTTTGTCTTACTGCCACTGACCTTTCAATACAAAAAGTTTATAATTTTTGTTTGCTATAAAACTACGTTAAGATTGGAGTTAGGTAGTTCTTTTCCCTTCCCAGCCACTCTAGTGTAAAGAATGTCCACTAGTCCACTGCTAAAACCTGTGTGTGACAAATTTTAAGTTACGTAGATTCTGTACACAATTACAACAGGAATATTAGGATTCCTGTATGTTGCAACATGCTACGCCGCAGTCCAACACCACAGGCAAACAGGGCTACTGTGCACGCTGCTGTCTGTAGCCAGGTAAGAGAGAGATATGAGAGTTGGTCCAGTCAGCCAGACTCATTTGTGGAGAATTAATAACAGCTTTGTTAGGCACTGATCCAGGCTAATTCTGGAAAAATGTGGTATTTCTGTGAAGCATGCATGATTCATAAAATTTCCCACCCTCAATCCCCCCAAAACCCAACAATTTCATAACATATTCTTAGTTATATAAAAATAATCTATGTCTTAGATTCATGCCTGACTTCAAATTCTTAGAAGTATCTAAAGGATTTTACATTCTCTTCTTTGATTTAGGTTCAGTGAAATTTTAGATCACTCTGTTTAGTCGAGTTTGAGTAAAATAACTGAGAATGGTTTGGCCAAATTTCACAGGCACACAAGTCAAAATGCCAAGCCAGTGAGGCCGCCCCACTGCCCCCCGCTGTCCTGCAGGTGCTCACCAGGCAGCAGTGAGGATGTGAAAACCTTAGGCTTTGCCACCAATGCTTCTCAATCTGCTGGCTTGGAAATCAGTACACTTCCACGAGAAGAATTAATGGTGCAGTGTTATGAAAACTAGCAATTTAACCAAACAGCACGAAGTTACAGACCAAGACAGTGATTTGAAACTAAATGTTGGCTTCTTTCTGAAACAGAGCCTCTAACTTGACAGTCCAAAATGGCACTTTAGTGACAACACACTCAGAAACGGGCACACCTGTTTCCACGAAGACACTGGCAAAGAGGGAGCACCGTGCGTGGCCCGGTGCGGTCCTCGAGAGGGAAGGGCGGGCCCGAATCTGCCCCCTGCTGTCCGCTTTGCTGGGCTCACCGCCTGGGGAGTGAAGAGAGGCTGCTGGACTCACAGCCTCAAAGTTCTCTCCAGCCTAAATTCTATAATTGAACTTGTCATTTGAAATGGAAATAAATAACTGAATTTTTAAAATCAGGAATTATGTTTTTAGCCTAAGGAAAGTGCAAACGCGCAGTACAGCGGAGAACAATCAGGGTGTCTGAGAAGCCTCGCGATGCGCACCCCAGGCCTTTCCTCTCCTCTCTCAGTGGCTCCATCTGTTAAAACACCGGCATCCATGTTTCTGTCAAAGCACTTGGCAGACTGAAAACAGTTAAATAGTTCAGGAAGTGCTTTCTGAAGTGAGACTGGGGAACTGTCAGGGGATCTGTGAAGCATAGGAAGGGGCGGGTCATCATGGAGACCAGACTCCGTTCTCCCAGTGGGGGCTCTGCAGCACCTTCACGTTCACACCTTCAACCCGCCGGGGTCGTGCCCTTCTGCAGCAGCTGGGGCTGTGCGCTGTGCTCACATGTTGTAGGCCACGTAGATCGGGTCCAGCTGGTCGGCCAGGAAGCCGTCCCGCAGGTGCATTCGCTGCTTCTCTCCACGAGAGTTGATGGGGATGACCCCTGGGTCCACGATGACCACCACGCCCACAACCAAGTAGTGCTCCTCCAGCACCACGTTGGTCACCAGGGCCACTAGGTCCAGGGCTTCCTGCTCCAGCCCGTCGAGCTCCACCACCACCACCAGCAGGTTGGTCCAGGTGAACACAGCACTGCAGGGAGAAGGACCAGGTCACCTGGGGTTGGGCGCAGGATCTGGGACCAACGGATGTTTGGGGAAGGCACCACAGAGAAGGTGAAGGACACTGACGCACATTTGCTGATGGCACAAGGCTGTCGAGCACCACTCACAATTCAGATGTCAGGCCAAATACGTTTTATAGGGATATCTATTCTAATTATAGTCTCGCTAAGGAGAGCACTTCTTGATGCTGAAAGCTGTCCCTGTCCCACACACACCAATGCAAGCTCCCCATGAAGTGATGAAACCGTGAGTCACAACTGTCTAAATTAAGACACTCTCACTGAACACTTCAGGATGAGAACTGTGGAGACCTCACATTTTGCCTGTGCACTTGGGGACAGTCTTTTGGTTCAAGACTCATCAGGAAAAGAAGGAAAAAACGAGCAAAACCCAAAGGCATCAAGGCAGGTTCTGGCATCATGTTTTGTAGAGCATGTCCTCTCCTGGCGGGCAGGCGGCTGCCTGCACATCCAAGGTGGACAGAGTTCATCCAATGCTGCATCCAGCTCCACCAGGGACTACGGTGACCATGCAGGAGGCCTGACCCCACAGCTGGCAGTCCCTGGCTCTGCCCCAACAGACACCCAGGACTCACGCAGAGAAAGGGCTGAGCAGCAGGGCAGAGATTGCCACCCATCTGGGCTCTTACCACTCGGCGATGTTCCTGTGTGCTCGGATCACAGACGTCTCGATGTCAATGGGGTGGTACCGCATCCCTCTCAGCTCCAGTGTTTCATCCAGAGACCCAACCACATACAGCGCATCATGCCGTCCTGTGAACAGCACATGCGTGCACATGCTCAGACAGGCAGGGAACCTGGCCAGGTGCTCTCCAGCACAGGGAGGTCATAACTCAAACATTATATGGCACCCATGGCCCCTGCCAAGGGGGCTGATGAAGGTGCTGGCAGCTCAGGCTGTTTCCTGTGCAGCGAGTAACCACCTCAGGGGAGTTACGGCAAATGTATAAACCTATGTTTAAAAATAATGTTCACCTCCGGAAACAGAGCAGCGTCTACAGGGGCTACCAAAGTTGTGATTTGGTTTGGCCAGCTCACTGCAGCTGCACGGACGGGGTCCTTGGGACACTGGCCACGACTCTGAGTGGGTCGTGTGTAGGGAGGGCACGGGTGAGACTGAAGCTGCTGGGCAGGCAGCTCGGCCTGGGAGGAGCCTGGCGACCTTACCACTGACCGTGGCCAGCCCAGCACGTCCCCAGCGGAGGCCAAGGGTCTAAGTGAGGGGCAGTTGTAGAGGGAAAAATCGCAATTTTCAGAGAAAACCAGTATCAGAGTATCTCTCTTCCCCCACACCAAACAACACATGATAGTAGCACAGAGTGAGGTGCCAGCAGACAGGGCTCTCTGGCACGAGAGTCGGGTGGGCTGACAGGTAACGGCACGACCCCCCGCCCATGTGCATGCAGTGCCTTAACCCCTCACCTCCACTGGCATCGGTGAGCTCTGTTCTTCGGAGGAAGCCCAGGTAGCCAGTCCTTGCCCAAACGGTCTGGGTGTCCCCAAAACTCAGCCGGGCACTGAAGTGGTCAGCATGCAGTGCCTCCTCCCCATAGACAGTGTAGTACCCCGTGGCGTTGTGGGGGCTGCTCACCCAGATCTGGGGGGCCCAGAGCACAAGAACGTGGGCTCGTTACAGACAGCTGAGTACAGATCCTGCCAGGAGACATCCGCTGGATGGCCAAGAACGCTCAAGTAAACACTGAACAAAGGAGGGTGCCATGTCCATTGTCTCTTATTTTGTGAACTAAGTTAAAGTTACAGGCACAGAAAGCACATTAGCTTTTCTCTCCTCAAACAAAGTGTTCCTTCCTTTGATCCAGAAATGCCATCTGCAGGATCCTGCCCTGTGTGGATGAGCATGCGGGGTAATTCTGCCTTCCTCGTGCCAAGGCGCTGTTGACAATTAAGAGAGCTGGAGCGACCCACACGTCCATAATAGGGACAAGTGAGAGGGGTGAGGGGCACCTGCAGAGCGGGGACTCACAGCCACTTGGACTCGCGCTGAGACAGGAAGATGAGCTGGCAACACAGCAGGTCCCGGGTCCAGGCCAGCCCCATGCACCTGTTTACGTGCACCTGTGTACTTCCGTGCACATGTTTATGTGCACCCCTACACCCATCTGCATGTGTTTATGTGCACCCATGTACCCGTGTGCATGTGCATGTGCACTCACATACCCGTGTGCATGTGTTTATGTGCACCCATGGACCTGTGTGCATGTTTATGTGTACTCACATACCCGTGTGCATGTGTTCATGTGCACCCATGGGCCTCTGTGCATGCATATGTGCACTCACATACCCGTGTGCATGTGTTTATGTGCACCCATGTACCTGTGTGCATGTTTATGTGCACTCACATACCCGTGTGTATGTGTTTATGTGCACCCGTGCACAGACCAAAGGACCAGACGACGGTGCCCACGGTACTCAGTGTCCTGGGGCCCTCCTAAGAACAGGTCCTGTCCAGAACCCATGTCAGTTCCCCACGCTTACACCTGGCTCTAAGATGTCCCCACATGGCAGTGTCTGAAAGAAGGGGACAGCCAACAGGGCTTCTCCCTTGAGCATCTGCACAGTGGGTGGGTCCCTCTGCCTGGCCCAGATCCTCCATCTCTTGGGAGCACACTCTTGCCTTACAGACCTGGGTTTGGCTGGCCAGGAAGTGGCATGGCTGAGGCGAGGGCCCCTCACTCCATCCACACTCGGGATTGGGGACCAGGACACCTTCCTGTCAGGATGCTGTAGGACCCCCAGTCAGGTGGAGCCACCAAGGCTGTGTGATTTCTCTCACTGGAACCCCCAGGCTGGCTTTGCAGCAGAGCCCACCTGGCACAAGAATGCCCATAGGACCAGGAATGTGAGCCCCATGTTCCCATAGCAACATCAACCTGGGCATGCAGGACATGATCCGCACTTTAAACTGCCAGCACTGTCTGTAAATAAAAGGTCCCACCATCCCAATTACAGCAAGATGCGCGTGCATAAACACAGACACTTCAATACTTCTGGGTCTTGGGATGACCAGGACCCCTCCCTGTCCCACCCTCTATGTCCTCAGGACAAGGGCTCTGCCCTGCTCCCTGGACCTCCCAGTCACAGGTGGGGGCCCCAGCGCCTTCTCCGTCTGTGCTCCTGGATCCCTGCAGGGAACACTTTTCTGTTTTTTTTTTTGAGACAAGGTCTCACTGTGTCACCTGGGCTGGAGTGCAATGGTATCATTACAGCTCACTGCAGCCTTGAACACCCGGGCTCAAGTGATCCTCCTGCCTCAGCCTCCCAAGTCGCTGGGATTACAGGTGTGAGCCACTGTGGCCGGCACAGGAACCACCCTTTAAGGAGCAGCTACTGGGTCCTGCCCAAGATAGCTGTTTTCTATGCCACTGCCGGTTCCTGTGTGTCTCCTCTCAGTGTCCTCAAACCCTGAGGTTTCCCTCTGCTGGTGGAGCAACCAAGGGAGGGGGCAGTTTGTTCCATGGCACCCCAAAATCCTACACAGAAGCGGGGTCTGGAAGCATGATGCACACAGGGAAAGGGCCCAACAGTGTCTAGTGGGTTCCCCAAGACAAGTATGACCCCGAAGGGTTTAGAATTCTCGAATCTGGGGCAAAGGGGAAGGGTGAAGCCAGTGAGGCTGGAGCGTTCTTGCCCCTTCCCCAGGGCCCACTGTGCTTACCTCGCCCAGGTGCGAGTCTCCCAGGGGCCCTTTGGTCTCCGTGTGTGCGATGATGACCTTCACTCCAGGGAGGATCTGGAAGAGGAGAGCTGTGTTCCTTGTTCAAGAAAACATGACACGAGACTTTCTTGATTCAGTGACATTAAAAACATCCTTTAGGCCGGGCGCGGTGGCTCACGCCTGTAATCCTAGCTTTCTGGGAGGCCGAGGCAGGCGAATCGTTTGAGCTCAGGAGTTCGAGACCAGCCTGAGCAAGAGCAAGACCCCGTCTCTACTAAAAAAAGAAAGAAATTAATCGGACAACTAAAAATATATAGAAAAAATTAGCCGGGCATGGTGGCACATGCCTGTAGTCCCAGCTACTCGGGAGGCTGAGGCAGGAGGATCGCTTGAGCCCAGGAGTTTGAGGTTGCTGTGAGCTAGGCTAACGTCACGGCACTCACTCTAGCCCGGGCAACACAGTGAGACTCTGTCTCAAAAAAAAAAAAAAAAACATCCTTTGGAAGCTAGTCCGCAGGACTGGCATGCCTACGTACGTCAGGTCAGGAAGTTTAGAAGCCACTCCAAATTTGACTTTAAATTTTAAAATAAGAGACATCAATAGAAGTAAGTTGTAAATCTTAGCAAAAATGACCCCAGTTCTTTGGATGTCAGGAGGGGCAGAGGGCCTGGGGACACATCCTGCTCTTCCCTGGAAAGACCAGACGAGGACAGAATGCCATCAGGGGCCCCTGTGCAGGGGCACCGTGACACTGCTGTGCCCAGCCTGGCAGGAGGCACATGTCTGGCAACTCCATCAAGCCTCCTGGTTCCTAACCAGGAGCCTGACCCTGAGGAAGCTCTTCCCACCCCCGACTTGGACTTAGGTCAACCACTGAGCATCTGCTTGGTGCCAACTGGGGACAGTTGGAGGCCACTGTCTCTTGCCCAGACTCCCACATCTGATCCTGGTGGCCCCTCACTGGGCTTGGGTCAGACCTCTTGGCTACACAAGGCCCAGTCACTTGTTCTGTGTCCTCAATTTCCCCATGTGTGAAACCAGGCAATGACAATGCAGGTGAGAGGAGGGGACGAAGGGTCACTGGGGGGCGTAAGCCACGGCTAGCGCCCTGCCTGCTGGGACTGCTGTTTCCCTGGACGCTGCTGGAGCCCCGCTCTCTGCCTGTGTGGCCCAGAGCTCTCTTTCTTTCCAGAGCACAAAGCCATCAGGCTCCAGGGACTGTAACAGCAAAACAGGAAGGAAAAGCCCAACAAAAGGGAATTGAGTCAACAACCGCAGCACGGCCCCACGGCAGGGCAGGAACAGCACGTACGAGAACTGCCTGAGGACCGAGGGCACAGGGCTATACTGAGTGTACAAAAGGGCTATGCCAGGCTGCACATGCAGTGTGCACTCCAGCTCCAACACGCGCATCTCTCTGTGCTCCAACACACACGGAGGACGGTGCAGTGGCCTCAGGTCTTCCCCAGGTGCGCTGTCCTGTTAAACTCACTTGATTCAACTCAGCTGGTCTGCTGCTTAGAGCCACGTTACACAGGGGGCGTGGGAGGTGAGCCTTCCAAGACCTCGCACCCTCGTTTGCTCATTCATTCATTCTCTCTGCTCTCCCCCCACCTGGCTCCAGCGTCACTGCCTTCCTGGGGACCTTTGCTCCTGCTCTGCCTTCTGCCCTAGATCTAACCCCGCTGCCCTGCAGGCATCTGCTGGTCACCACACGGCTCTGCCCCTCTCTGGGGACCTCCTTGCCTCCCCGAAGGCGGCTGTGGCCACGGCAGAGAGTAAGCAGAGTCGTGGTGGCCAAGCCCTCCTTCTTGCCTCTGTGGTTGGAAAGGGGCAGCGAGCCCCACCCCCAGGCTCTCATCGGGTGCACAGCAGCTGTGGTTTGAGACCCTTGGGCTCCTGTGCAGTCAGCAGCTGCCCACTCACACCAAGCCCGTCTAGCTTTTCATGCTGCTTAATTGGGCCGGGGTCAGGGGGTTCCTCCTTCTTTTGAGCCTTTCCTGGTTCTGAGGACGCTGTTCTCCTGTGCCTGCGTCTGCTCACCCCTCGCACAGGCTCACAGTTTTTAACCTGGTGTCCTCAGGCCCGTTGCGAGTCCCTGGCAGGGATGGTTTCGACAGTAAATCCCACGTGGGGTCCAGGACTCCACCTCCTGCCCAAGGCCCTGGTGGGGACCCCTCCTTGCTGTCGTCCCGAATCAGGGCATGAGCTCTTCCCATTCCTAATGCAGGGCCAGGGCCACCCTCGGACTCTGACGTGTGGCTGAGCTGACCCCTTGATGCATAGCCTCGACCCCAGAGGCCTGAGGCCTCACACCCGCCCGGTGCGAGGAGCTCCTTCTCGGTTTTGGTAGCAGAAGCTCTCCCTCTCTTGGTTTTGCGCTCAGATATGTGTCTAAAGACTTAACCCCGCACTGCTACGTGTCTCAGTAAAGCCGGAAAAGGGGCTTGTGAAGTACCCAGCCCACCCCCACCAGAAGTCGGCCTGCGTTCCTCAGGAGAGCCGCAGCCCCCGGCGCCTTTAACGGAGTGACGCCTGAGACAAAAGGGGACTCAGACATGTCACGGAACCCGTAAGTCGCAGCTTCCACTACCTTTCCAGACTCCATCAACGGCAGACTGTGTGGAGAACCCCGTTCTACCAAACGTACCCTAAAAATTAATGAGGGAAAAATTTCAGAATAAAATTTACTAATAGGTAGTAATTTCTAAAAAGGTAAATCATGGGGTAATTGGAAATTGATCATCACCCTGAGGGTCAGTCTGTGGACAACAGCCTGACGTTAGCCTTTGGATGACACAACTGCTGTGAACGTCTTGGGCAGTGACATCGGGGTGCCACAGGGAGCGTCCCAGCACCACTGAGGGTCCTGAGCGTCAGCACCCGCACACACTCTCTGCCTGCTGTGCTCATGGCAGGAGCCTGCTCTGCGTTTCTTTTGGGTCCTCTCCAGAGCTGGCTGGCCCCTGATGCCCAGTAAGCTGCACTTACTGTTTCCATCAAGCTGCAGTGTGGCCATATTTGAGGATCCAGAATTGGGATCTGAGCCTCAAAGCTGGGAGAGACCCTGAGTACACACTCAAACACAGACCATGGGCCCCCGCACACACTGACTGATGTGAAAACTCAGACAGGTGTTGCCACAACATCAGGGCAGAAGAATTCTTGCCATTAGTTGGTCTACTTGTCTTCTATACATCCCCATAAAAAGCTACATGTCAAATGTCTGGTCACTCTTATTAGCCTTCCTGGGGGTGTGAGTGACGAGAAAGGGATGTTCACGGCAGCCCTGAGGACCTAGGTAGCTCGGAGCTAGAGGCCAGGCTCCCCGACAGAACATGCCACAGCCCTGCTCTTTCCTTCTCAGTGTGGACGGGCCGTCTTAGCCAGCCATACTCTAACGTCTGGGTGCCTGGGGATGCTCAGTTAGCACAGACCCAGCTTGCACTTCGTCAGTGGGTGTGGATGGGGCCGTGTGGGCAAGGACCTCACCTGTCATGGCGCAGCGCCCGCATGTCCACGTAGACGGTTGTGGGGTCCGGGCCGGCTGTGCCCTGGAAGGAGAGCAGCAGAGGAACTTTGGTCAGGGTCCTCACACTCACTCCTCTTCCATGGGCACAGCTGCATGGCAGCAACTCTGGGGCCGGGGGGACGCCCAGGAAGGCAGCAGCTCTGCTCTCTGCATTGAGTCTGCCCAGGGCTTTGGGTCCCCGGGGCAGGGCTGACACTTTCCATCCAAACATTCACATGGCTTGGTAATATTGAATGAAACATACGGTAACACTGAGTGAAAACGTCAAATCATACAACTTCACATTTCAGTTCTAACAGCTTCACTGTGATAAAAACACTCCACAGTTAGGGGCATTTCCGCTGAGCTGTTGGGCGGGCCTGGCCTCTCAACAAGCACCCAACTCTCCTGGGGACTGAGCACAGCTGGACTCCTCGGACGGGTGGGCGCAGCCTTCGCCTCCCTCCCCTCGTCCTGATTTCTGAATCTTACATTTGACGTGGGTCCTGATTACAGGACGTCAGGTGCCATTTTATTATAATAGATAAGGAATATCAAACTAAGTGAGGACCCTGACCAACATCACTCCCTGAAGATCCCAGACAACATAACCTATGTCTGCCCTGGAATTAAAACAAAAAGTTTCTACATTGAGACTAAACACAGCCCTTTCCTCCCCAAGGCAATGCTATAAACATTACATTTTTTTGAAAATAGTTTTACTTTTAAATTTGGTTACAAAAGAGCTTTTGTAAGACGTCAAATAATATGCACTGTGCACAAAGTAAGAGAGCAAGAAAACATGTATTTGTCTGGAATTCACGAGGAGCCACATGAACTCGGGGGGAGCACAGAGGCAGCAACGAGGTCGGGGTCATACCTGCTCAGCCAGCTTTCCCAGCCTGTTGGGCTGACAGAGGCCAAGGAGGCCAGCAGAGTGGGACAGGGAGGAGACAGCCACAGGAAACACAAACGGAAGGCCACAGGCCACATGAGAAACAAGGATGAGAGAGAGCAAAACCCATCACTGTATCTTAAAGAGCAAACATGAATATCGATTAACATTTCTGCAATCATACGTAGCGTCCATCTGCCAACAACACAACAGATCCCTCCAGTAGCTAACGAGGGGGACACGGGCTTTCAGACGCAAAGCAGACAGCACGGTCTTCACTTACAGCCACTGACCTACACCCGACACCCATTCTACATCAGGAAGGGATGCTGAGAGAGGGTCCCACCCTGGCTTCTCTGCTCCCCAAGAAGGGTCAAGAGTCTTTCCGAAGCTGAGAGGACATGAGCAGGAACGCTGACGGCCCTGCATGTGCTGCTACCGCAGGGGACGTGGGTGAGGCAGATGCCCCGGAAACCAAGCACTGCCCCACCAGGCCTGCTCCGGGACAGGCAGACCCCACTCATCCTGGCTACTCTCTTTCGATGTGGGACAGTCAGGCATTTGATGTGTAGGATGTTAGCTAATAAGCTACTTGGTTTTCAGATGTTTGTAGAAAGAAACGAAAGAAGGTGCTAGTATAAAATATGAAGAAGTGGTAAACAGCACTGCAGTCAGCTGTTCAGTTTCTGAAACTTTGTGTTTCCTTTTAAAAAGTAAAGTACTTTAGGATTTCAAAAACAAATCTGAGTCAATAAAAATTATCACATTCATTAACGTTTCAACTTAAAATTGCTAGATGTCTTAAAACAGTAAGTTCACTCTTGCTTTAAAAAATTAGCTGCATATTTTATCCAAATTAGAGATTCTTACAGGTAAGATATTAATCATTACTCAAAAACAGTTTGTGCTTTTTTTTTTTTTTTTTCAAATAAGCCTTTGTTCATCAATAAGAATAGAACATCTTTTAAATAAAACCCTCATAGCTCTCAAAGCTGAAATGCTATGTGGAAACAACACACCGAAGGCTCAGAGGAGAAATGGGCCAGGCAGGTACCAGGCCCAGCGCCTCACCTGGAGGCAGATGGCCACGTTGACCCTGCACCCGAACGTGGTGCTCACGGCGCGCGCAGGCAGGCCCAGGTCCTTGAACAGCTTGGAGAAGGACTGCGTCAGTGTGATCCTGGGCCGCTCTTCAGCGACCACCATGCACGTGCGCACACACGACAGGTTCACCCCCTTCATCTGCCAGAGGAGCGGGGAGTCAGGCCTGCAGTACAGTAAAGCTCTGCGTGGGGCCCGCGCGTGCTTTGGCCCTAGGTTATAGCACTCAAAGGCGAAGCTTAACACAAACCTCTGCTCTGCCCAGGGCTGCCCCGTGAATTCTGAGTGCTGGAGCACGGGAGGGCATGCGTCTGACCTGAACCCCACACCTGCCCTCCTGAGCTGCCAGGCCTCACACCAGGACCTCTCACTGGCCCCAGGCCCTTGGGACCCCCACCTGCCCCGCCCCCATCCTGCTACGTGGCCTCAGGAAGAGGGGTGTGTACACAGCACGCAGCTCAGGAAGGGGTCCTGGGAGTCCAGTTTTGTTTTGTTCCTTACGCTTCCCCAGGTCTGAGCACTTACCCTGAGGACGCCTGTCTGCGTGCCCAGCCCCCTGGTGCACATCTCCATCACTGAGTAGGAGCAGAAGGTGACGCGGGCCCGGTACTGGCTGACGGCTGACAGCCACAGGGACACGTTGCTCTCTAGCTCCAGCGGGGGCACCAGCACCGACTGGTGTCCCGAGTAGACACTGCGGGAAGGGAGGGCTCGACAGTCCCCACCTGCCCACCTAACACCCTGGGTACCCCACAGTTCCCTTTCTCAAAGACACTTCTTTCGCAGCCAGGACAGGGGCACAATTCTGTTCTAACATCCAGTGGGGTTCAGCAGAAAACACGCTGTTGGGAAGAGGAGCAGAACGGCAGGCACAGGGTCCTGGCCTCCGCTCTCCAAAGGTACCCGGGGGCAGCATTACGGAGGCGTTCTGCTGTCAGAGATGGATCACCACGTCCCAGCGCTTAGAGGAATCAAGCAAGTTCTTCCCAATTACCAATAAGGGATAGTCATGAAAAATGTATTTTTACTCATTTACTCAATTTCAGACTCAGACTCCAACCCACCTCATCCCCAAACAAACCCACTCGCAAATGTCTCTTCATCCTCTCAGGCACTTGGCAAAAGCACCTTAGAGCATCAAGGTTCTGGAGAGCCACCCGACCATTCCAACCACCAGGCAGGTAGGGTCCTGGGCTCACCTGCACAGACACCACAGGGCAAAGCCAAGGCCGCAGTAGGGGTCCAGGCAGATGGCGATCTGCCGAGAGGGGTACAGCTCGCACTGCAGCTTTATGGAGCGGCACAAGGCACTTGTGGCCGCGTGCGACATCTTAGGAGTAAGATAAGGGTCTGTTCAGTGATGTGCAGGAAGAAAGAGGGGTTGGGACATGTCTGCCGTAGCTCTAAACTATCAAACACCGTCGTTACCTCCTTAAAAGACGGCTAGCTCAAATCCCCATATAATCTAAATAATGCCCAGGAAATAGCTCACTAAAAACCTCTGAAACAAAATTTTAGGACAGTAAGAAATTTTAATAGTGCTCCTGGCTCCTAGTAAGGAAACAGACTCATCAAAGCCACCTGCTCCTGGAAGCCAGACAGTCATATATCAGAAAGTTGAGTCATTACCATAAAGCATCAAACATGCATTACTCTCAGGCTAGTCAAATTTGGGGAGGTCCACTGCCATTTCACACAAACTTTAAGAAACAATATTGTTGCTCTGTGCTCTGGGCCAGGAGCAAGACCTGCCTAGACCTGCACCTGATGTCCCTGTCTGCTCCGTGTCCCAGGGGCTGACACAAATGGGAGCCTTGCTCATGGGACCTACCTTCACGCCCGCTAAGATGCCCGTGGTCGACACGCTGAAGTCCAAATACGCCAGCACATCTGGGGAGGGGGGTCTGAAAATGCTAGCTACTTTCCTTTTCGGTATGTCATCTGTTAAACAGGAGACACTGGTGACATCAGTGCTCCTGCATGTATCCTGACAAGGTAAAAGCTCTGGGCTTTCCTAGGCCAGAGGTGGAGTGAGGCGCACTTGGGGAGTCCTGGAGAGCCAGCTCAGACCCGAGTGAGGCTGTGAGAGCACGGGCTGCGTGTGTGCATGGGAAGGCTTATCTTAATCTTCAAGGAACCGTCACCAGGGCGGACCCACCAAGACCGCACTGAGCCTGTGGGGACAGGATGGCAGGTGAGGGAGGGCACAGGCCAGGAGGGCTGCACGGGAAGTCACTTTGTTGACAAGAGAGCAAGCGGGGAGAACGTGGGACTTGCCAAAGGTCACAGAGCCTGCAGCAGAGCCAGGTGAACCCAGAATCCCGACCCCAACCCCAGCAAGAGCAGCCACTCCGGGCTGTGGGTGCTTCATCAAGTCCTTGTGGCCCCGTGAGGCAGACACCAGTGCTGTCCCCAAGTAGGACTGGACACAGGCCCAGCCGGGGCTGAGGTGGGGGCCAGAAGGCTGTCCACTGCTGCCCACACCAGCTGCCCCGGCCGCCTGATCCAGGATCCTCTGGCTGGCTCAGCCCAGGCTGAGATTGTCTCACCAAGCTGGCCCAAAGCAGAGAGGAGCCAGGGAGCTGTCCACCCCATCCCAGTTGGCCCGCAGCATTTCACGGCAAGGTACTGTTCACTGGTGAGGGTGGGGAGCCCAGGGCTGTGTCTCCGAGGGAGCAGCAGAGAGCCTCAGAGAACAGCCCACCCCTGCACCAGCAGAAGGCAGGGAGGGGCAAGGCTGTGGTCTACACCACTGGGCCAGGCGCTGCCCTGGCTCGGACTGGAGAGGAGTTTGCACGGAGTCAGATTGGGGGTGCGCAGGGCTGCTGGCCCCCAGGGGGCCCTCACTCCCCACCAGGACCCAGGAAAGGGCTGATGCCCGCATTTCACTGGACGCCATGCAGGCTCTAGCAGGCGGATCCATGGATCCAAGGCACCACCCACCATAGGCCCAGGAGCGGCCTTGCCACCACTTACTGGGGCTGCTCTTACTCCACACTCACGTTTGGACCTGGCCATGCAATACCTGCAACAAAGAAAGGGAAAGGAGCTCCTCTGGTGAGGCCCGCTGCTGAGGACACGCACCTGTGTCCAGAATGGTTGGCCAGGTCCTGATGTCCACTGCAGCGGCCGCCTCCTTGGACCGGAGCAGCCGCGTGACCGCCTGTGTGGTGAGGACACACGCGGACTTGCTGACCTGCATGGGGCAGGATGGAGTCAGCTAGGCCTGCGGAGGCCGCAGCGCAGATCCTGGGAGACCTGCCCGCCCTCCGCGCACCTCCACAATCATCTTGACGGTGGGGAGCGTGGTGCCGAGGTTCTGGGGGTGCGGGGGCCGCACGGTGACAGGCACACAGCCGCAGTACAGGCAGCCGTAGAAGGCGGCAATGAGGTCCACGCCTGCAAAGACAGCGGGAGGTCAGTGCAGGTGGTGCGGATGGCCAAGGCGTGTCCACTGAGAACAGCAGAGTCAGTGGGTTCCTGGCCGTACAGCCGCGACTGGACCCTGGAGGGACTATGGAGGGCAGGCCCTGCCCCGAGGACATTGAGCAGGGCGGGGATGCAGCGCCACAAACCAGGGCAGGTGGCCCTAGAGAACCCAGCTCCAGCTGCCGTGCTGCCTGTGAGCACACAGACCTCGGGGAGTCTGTGAGAGCTGTCTACACTGCAGGCTCCCGCCCCGCAGCTCCAGGAGCATCTGCACACACCAGATCAGAGGACACCCGGAGGCTCTGCCTGCGGGACACCGACCACCACACCGCTCTTCCAACTCTCTATAGGGTTAAAATCCCTGTAGTTAAAATTTGGGGGAAAATCGTACCAGGCTTAAAACCTGTTTTTTGCCAGGCCTGGCGGCTCACACCTGTAATCTCAGCACTTTGGGAGGCCGAGGTCACAGGATCGCTTGAGGCCAGGAGCTTGAGACCAGCCTGAGCAAGAGCGAGACCCCATCCCTACAAAAAATAATAAAAACAGCTGGGCGTGGTGGCCTGGCCTGTGGTCTCAGCTACTTGGGAGGTTGAGGCAGGAGGATCGCTTCGGCCCAGGAGTTTGAGGCTGCTATGAGCTGTGATGACACCACTGCACTCCAACCTGGGTGACAGAGTGAGATCCTGCCTCAAAAAAACCAAAAAACAAACAAACAAAAGAAAAAAGAATCTGCTTCCTGGAGCTAAGGAAGCTATGCTATAAAGATGCTTGGGTGTCCTTCTCTTGTCCTGGCACCACTCAGCCCCCAGCACCCCAGCCTCTGTACAGAGCCTGTTCTTAACCCCTTGGGTCACACACCCATTTGAGAATTGGATGTAAATCTTAGACTCTCCCCCAGCCCCCAGGAAACACACATCACACGTGCCTGTGCATGTCTGCAAACATGTGCACCCACCTGTGGCCTTCTGGGCCTCCGAGTGGGGCCACAGGCCTCTGCCTCCCACTATTATACCCCAGCTGCTGTTATGTTTTTCAAATGTAAATGTAGAACTTTGACATGGATTTTCTTTTTCTCATTAAAAATTTTTTACAAATAGCATTGAATAACCAAAAGCAGACAATCGTGTAAGGACCTCTAAATCCACCATTCCGAGTCTCAGTTATCGAGGTTATACTGTGTTTGCTCCACGTCTTTTTTCTTCTTCTTTTCTTCCTTTGTTCACGTATTTAAGGCAGCTCTCTCCCAGCTGCTCCTTCAGCCCTGCCCCTCCCAGAGAGCGTGTGCCTGGGCACCGCAGCCCCAGACCTGCTCTGGGAAATGCTCTCAAACTCCCAAGCTGAGCTCAGCCAGCTCTGCTCTGGCCAGTGTGGACAGCGAGGAGCAGGGAGCTCCAGCCTGGCTGTGCTACCACCTCCCAGAGGGTCTCTCTGTCCCCTCTCAAAGTTGGGGTGAGGCTGACATACAGTGAGGGCTGCATAAAGCACCTGTGTGTGCTTGGAACCCAGGAACGGTGAAAAATAGGAATTATCACCATCCCTGGAGAAAAATAACCTCATGCCAGAGGGAGTGTCCACACTGCTATGTGTTTATGTCAAGAAACAAACCAAGGCCGGGCGCGGTGGCTCACGCCTGTAATCCTAGCACTCTGGGAGGCCAAGGCGGGCGGATTGTTTGAGTTCAGGAGTTAGAAAACAGCCTGAGCAAGAGCAAGACCCCATCTCTACTAAAAATAGAAAGAAATTAATTGGACAACTAAAAATATATAGAAAAAATTAGCCGGGCATGGTGGCACATGCCTGTAGTCCCAGCTACTCAGGAAGCTGAGGCAGAAGGATTGCTTGAGCCCAGGAGTTTGAGGTTGCTGTGAGCTAGGCTAACGCCACGGCACTCACTCTAGCCAGGGCAACAAAGCAAGACTCTGTCTCAAAAAAAAAAAAGAAACCAAGCTACCACCTTCCCCCAGGGGAGACTCTACGTGACTGTGAGGGACATGCACACCTCCTGGCAGACCCCGGGGAGAGTCCCCAGCCCCCACCAGCCGCAGGAGTCCCTCTACAGCGTAGGTGCTGAGGGCAGTGTCCCACGAGATAACCTGGAAATGAGGATGGTCCGTGCTGAAGCCTGGACAAGTACCCAAATGACCTGGCAAGAAAGATGTCAGCACACAGCAAAAACACACACGGCAATTGGATGGAAAAGATGCAAGAGGTGGAGGACAGATCCAAAAGTGAGTTAGGGAAGTTCCAGAAATAGACAAAGAAGGAGAAAGGCACTAAGAAACACACTTTACTGAGATGATGACGAGAGTATGAAGATTAAATGGACAAGAAAATGATAGAAGACCCACGCCTGGGCATATCCCAGCAAAATTCCTGAACTCTGAGGTATAAAGAAAAACCTGTAAGCTTCTAGGCAAAACAACAACAAACTTACAAAGGAAAAAAATGGCTGGCATTGTCACCTAAAAACAGCCTGTACACACACTCAAGACAAATAGACACCTGAGCTTCCTGTTCTGGCTGAGGGACGACTGGCCCGTGTAAGTGGAAGACACTCCGAGTGTGTGTCACCTGTCTGCCTCACCTGGACGAGAAAAACAACTTGGAAACAGCCAAACAGCAAACACACTGAATGAGACCCTGGGACAGACAGGGCAGGTGAGGACTGCAGAGCAGCGGGCCAGAACCCTGCATTAGAAGACGTGACCGAACACTAGCAGTCCCCATGAAAACGCCTGCTGAGAAGGCCAGCGCTGCCAGGGGATCTGCTGTCTGTTCCAGCTGACACCAGATGGCAGGCCCCAGCCTCCCCTGGGAGCATTTACTGCAATTCGCAGTGAATGCACTTACAATTTTAAATACGTATCCCTTGCAACTCAGCACCTCTCTCGAGGACCCGAGAGGCCCTGCTAGGAAATGGAGTCTCCGGGAAGGAGGGGCCAGCCCCCAACTGCAACACCCACCAGCGCAGGGCGGCCTCGTGGCCTCGACACTAACCAGCTCTTTGTCCTTTGAAAATGCTCTAATCACCTCTGCACAACATGGAATGGAGCTCAGCTCTTTCCCTGATGTCAGCAGTTACTGAATAAGATCTGTTTTCACCACTTTAACTAACACCCAGCTCTGTCTATCTCTGAGGCAGAGGAGGAGGAGAGAAGAGGCGAGAAAAGGTGGGATGGGGGCAAATCAGACCTGGTGGGCAGACGACACCAAGAGAATCAGGAGACTCCCAGGAAGAACCCAGTGCCCCCAGCAAGGGTTGAGGGAAGGACAAGTGAGGTTTTCTAGAAGTCTCTGTGAGGTGGGGGAGGGAAACAGGGAGGAAGTGGAGCATCCTGGGGAGATCCCTGGCAACTGTTCTCAAATCCTGTGGGTCTGATCAGAGAGCAGGGAGCGGAGAGGCCACCCGTATGAGACCCGTTCATCTGCTCACCAACGAGAGTCAACACCGCTCAGCCTGACGGGGGCAGAGCCCCACCCGCAGGAAACACTGCTGGAACTGTGGGACACGGCTGAGCCGAACAGACAAGAGACGTGAAGGAGAGAGGTCATGCGAGTGGGGATGGGGACACAGCCAGGAAATCTTGGAAACAGGCTACCACATGAGGTCAAGTCCCATACAAAGTTGTAAGAAAAAAAAATCAAAAAGAGAGTATTATCTGAACATATAGACAAAGCATGCCAAAAAGACAAGTCCACAAAACAGATAAAAACTGCAATTGTCTATTTCAAAATGTGCTAAAATATATTAAGAAGTGATACAAGACAGAAAATAACAGAAATCAGAATTAGAAAAAAAATCAGAAATGAAATAATTAATGTCAAAATGAAGATGAAGCTTGAAGGAAGACAAGACAACTAAAGATAATAGATAAAGACTTAAGATAAAATAGAAGATGAAGAGGAGGGACATTTGTGACAACTACTGATGACGAAGAGCATCCAGTGGGAACAGAAGTGCAGAGGAAAACGCAAGGAATGAGAGCAAACAGGAAAACCACGACACAAGAAAACCGTCGTTTGAAAACAAGACTTGAAGCTACATATTTAAAGATACCTTGTAAGTACGACTGTTGACCTACAACAACTAGCATCAACACTGTGACATACTGGACTTTAAAGAAAAATGAAAATATCAGTTTTGCATCTAGGCAAAAACAGCAAGTGACGCCCAAGAGAAACTTGGATTATCACCAGATCTGTAGACAGTAATGCTTCTTAATGCCATATTCGTGACACTCAAGGAAAGAAAATGTGAGTCAATGGATTTTTTTATCTAGCAAAAATGCCTTTCAATTATAAAGTGGACAAACTATGATCAAAAAGCAGGACTCAGGGAGTACTGTTTCCAAGAGCCCTTCCTGAGGAGTCGGTGTGAGAGCGAGCTGAGAAAACAGCGTGAGCAGAGGGCACGGTCGTGTGCACTGGCAGCGCACACGGAACACGGAGCTGCGGGTGGAAGTGAAACCGCACGCGGGTAGAGAAGAACAGGTGCGGTGTGCGGTGACACGGCCATGAGAAAAGGGGGCACTGGACTGAGCACGTGCAGAAATCCTCCACTTGTTTCCAGAACTTGCGCAGGGGTCCACTGCATCACCACTGTTAGTTTTGGGAATGCTCCGTGTGATGTAGGATAAAGCAAATTAGAAATTATGGGATTTTCTAATTCTGTCATCTCCTCTTCCTAAAGAATGAGGATTTTTGGTGTGGAATAAAGAAGATCCTGGTACATCGTAAGAGAGTTTTAGTAAAAATCCTGCAATCCTAAGCCTGTCTTGGCTATAACAGTAGGAACTCTGAGCTATTTATTTATAATTCCTAGCTCTGCTCACTGAAAAGGAAAACAAACAACTACCCAGCAGCAACCAAGCTTCCCTAGTACACAGATTTTGTTCTGGGAGTCTCAGAACCGACTGCAGGTCTAGGGTGGGAGGTGCAGAGTGAGCCTGGTGCTGCCGCACCTTAGTGAGGAAGCCGTCAGGCCCAGAGGCCCTGCCCAGAGGCTCCCGCTGGGCTCTGCTCACTGTCCCGGGGAGAGAGGAGGGCAGACGGTGCTGGGGAGGGCGTGGGTGAGCTGAGGGGGACGAGCACATGCAGAGAAGAGGGGCTGAGTTTAGTTTTGGAAAGTCGAGGAGAAAATGTCTCCGGCAGCTGCTGACAATGAACTGGCAGGGCACGGCCTGGTGCTGCGCTTACCCGGGGGATAGACCAAAGCCACATGGTCCCCAACGTTCAGTCTTCCCTTCTCCGTCAGAGCCGCAGCCACTCTTTCAGCTCTTTTGTGCAGCTGGACACAGGTTGCAGTGCTGGTGACTGTGCCCTAGGAAAGCCATCAAGTTAGTCCACGTGCTGGTGAGTGCAGACAAGCCTTTGCCTCAGATGTGGGCACACACCGTGTGCAGCCACTGCAGCCCACGCCCTGCAACTGGGGGCCAGGACAGGGGCCAGTCACAGATGTGCAGCTGGTGTCTTTTCCAGTAATCTGTGTCCGCTCTCCAGCGGTGGAGGGTTGAGTTGCATCTCCTGACAGCCCCAACCTAGAACAGGAGTACGGGTGCCCTGTCCATCCAGGGGAGAGCCAGAAACACCTGATCAGAGAAGATCTTTTCAATAAAATATTTCAAGTATAACAACATTATAAAGTATAGTGTAATAACTATCCAGGTACTCTTTATCTACTAATATTTTGCCATATTGTTTCAATTTCCCTTTTATAAAACAAATCATTGTTGTGCTTGAAGCCACCTGTAAACCACTCCCAAGTGCATCACCTCTCTCCCCAGAAGCAACCATTATCCTGCATATAAATACAAATAAATAAACATTAAACAATAAGCAAACATCCCCAAATGACACTATTTTGCATGTGCAAACGTCACATGCACCAAGCCTGGACCTGTGTCGCTCTGCAACCTCCTTCTCAGGTGCCTGCAAGTCTCCTCTGTGGCTGCACCGGCTCATCCCCTGCGGAGGGCTGTCTGGGCTGCGTGAGCAGCTTGGTGCAAACAGAAACACCTTGTGGCCCCTCCCTCTGCTCTGTGGACTCATCCTCCCTGATCCCAATGCCAGGCCTCAAAGCTGCTTAAGGAAACAGAAAGTGCAACTCAGTCTAATAATCACAAATCTCCAGGAGAGACCAGTGTAACACCTGGGTTGGTGCCTCTCCTGACAGCACACAGTGGAAGAAGAAACCAGCGGATGTACCTGCGTGCTGTGCCCAAGCACAAGGGCCAGGCAGGTCCTGAGAGCCGACATTCCAGAAGCCTTGCCAGTCCCTGTGAGCCAGATCCCACTATACCCTTGGGGAAAACCCAGCGCCCCCAGCCTCATCTGTGTCCCTCCCTAGGCCTCCTGGTCCCTGCCATGCTGGCCTCCTCTCCTGCCTCAAGCCCACCGGCATCACTGCCTCAGAGCCCCTCCCGAGCACTCTGGGTCACATTCCTCACACCACTGATCCTGAGGGCCTCGACACGCGCCGATTTCACCCTGGTCGACTGTTAATCGTTGGCTCTCTGAAGGCTTTAGAACTCGACTGTAAAACGAACGTTTACTGAACACTG